AAAATTAACTCACTTTCTTCTGCAGCTAGAAATGTAGGGATCATTTATCTGGCCACCCTCTTCTTGAAGGACTAAATTGTTTCCTTGCAGCAATTTTATAGAAAGATTAACAAGCCAAGCTGCTTATTGTGAACTATCTTTTTTTGTAAGTTATTTCCGCTAAAGATGGAGCTGCAATTAGAAACCAATCTGAGCTTAATTAAAATAATTAATATCAAAATGAGAAGTTAATCATACAAATAGTATCGGACAGTTCAAATGTCTTATTTTTTCAAAAACTTGCAAAGGTGAATGAAATGAAATCACTGCTTTTTAAAAATCTAATAATAGGTTTTGTTATGAATTTCTGTTAGATACAATTCAGTCTCAAAAGTCGTTTTCTTCGTGTGACAAAAATCTCCTTTTTTTAACTTTCCTTTGAGGGTGATTTAGTCAACAGCAAGATCATATTGTTATTGAATATATACCTGATTGGGACTTTTGAGGGGAGTGAGAGGATTATACATCAGTATAATGAGAAAAATACTATTTTGTTTAAATTCCACATATTTGTATTAGGTTGTTCAGTGTGAAAGATATAAACAGTAGTGATGTGCAAAACATTTCAAATATAGTGTCTTTGGAAACTAGTAATGGGCACATTTTATGCCTGGAACAGTTCTAAAATGGCAGAAAGATATTTGAATGCTTCTGGTACCGCTGTGCCAAATTTGAAATAGAATGAGTTAAATTTAAGTGAGGGGGGAGGGAGGGAGGGGGGAGAGAGAGAGAGAGAATCTGAAGATTCTATGGTAACATGCACACACACACACACACACACACACACACACACACACACACAAATTGAATTGCATTACTAACAAAGGGAAAAAATTTATCCACAAGGAATATTTGCTGGATGTCTGTTAACAAACAGTGAAAATCATTTGTGATACAGTAACTCACAAAATTATATTGTATTTTGTTTATAGGCTTGTTTCCAAAATCTTTATGTCTGCCTATTTGGTGTTTTATTTTTTTGTTTCTAAAGCACTGCAGAAAAAATGTGATATGGCTGAGGGTGAGTGTAAATTGCCATCCAGCCAGGAATCCCCTTTGAGCTAATGAGTCAGGCTGAATCCCTTCCTGGAACCCCCCAGTGCATTTATCACTGTGCCATTGACAGAGGATGAATGTGCTCCACGCGGTGTTGTTTTTTTGTTTGTATGGCGTAACATGCCTTTAATCATACCATCTTAAGAAGTGGGATTTCTTTAAGATGAATAGTTACCAGTTTTAGATCACATATTTTATGCCTTCAACAATTTTAAAAAACCTAAACATAGCTGCTAATCCATTTTTTTGCCCAATTTAAATAGCCTTAACCATTTGGGAATAACAGAATAATTGTCTTCTGTGGACATTGTGCTGGCCCTGCCCTTCAGACTGTCACAGAGGCAGTGCGTAGGAAGCGGAGATGCTGAGAAGGATTTGGTGACAGTCTGAAGGGCTTTGTGATGGTACCTTTGCTGTAGAATGCAAAAATCCCTCCCCCCCCCAATCTTTTCATCCTTTGGGAACTTAATTGTGATGACCCAGAGTGTAATACAAACGTAACAAAATCCAAAACGTAAATAAATGTCCTTTAATGCCCCCAACTTGGCCCCACTGTTCAATAATTCTCAGTTGGAGATAAAACTTTCTCAAAAATAGTCTTCAAAAGAAAGCAATACAGTCCGAACTTAATGAGCAGGTAGAGGTGAAATAATAACCAAACAAACTACAATGATGAAATTTCCACAACGGACTAGGATAAGTAATTACCAAATTCAAGGAGATAACAAGGCACAGTCTGTTGGAAGAACGCCAACCAAGATAACTTCAGCCCAAAATAAAACTAGCTTTGCTTCTGGCAATGAAGTGTTTTAACCATCTCTCTTATATACTAGTCTCCCCAGCTGCAACCAATGAGGAGGATCATGGCCACTTCCTCTCTCATAACTCAAGCTGTTTCCTTCTCCGTTTCTTCCTGCGTGTCCTAGGATGTAGAGGGGATGGGCCTGGTTCTTCGTCTGACTGCCCAGCCGGCCTCGGCCCTTCCCCAGCCTCCTCCACAACCTCCGGAGCCACACCTCCACTCCCTGTCCGCTGTTCCTCCTCTCCCTCAGAGTCCGACTCTACCTAAAGGGCATGACATTAATAAAGATACTGCCACTTGCCTTGGCCTCTTAAGTAACTCATCTTTTTAAACTAATAAACTGTGATGCAACCTGTGTTTGATAATTTGGGTTACTAAGACTGCAGTACTGTACTTTTCTTTGGAAGTAAGTAACATTGATTTCATGGGGCCTTACTTCTGAGAAGATATTTGTCAGGATAGCACTATTAAGAGTTTTTAATCTTGAGCAAAATTTTATATTTCATTTTATAACATTTAAAATGTTTTTTAAACCATTTTGTATTTCAATATTTTATTTTAGTTGCATATCTTAGATAAGATTAGCTGGGCAGCCAAATAAATCTGCATTTCAAATTACCATTCTGTGTAAAAACAATTTTTCAGTGTATTATGGACAACTGCTGCTTAAAAAATAAGATAAGCTTGAAATTCTTTTTACATTTTTTTTATTGATTTTTAAAAACAAACATAAACAAACAAAACATAAAACATAAAAACATAAAACATCTTTTTTGAAAGCAGCTTGATCCCAGGTTACATCTCTTCGTACAGACACAAATTCAAATTCATGCTCATTTTATATACCATTCCATATCTTATTACCATTCAATGTTTTCTATATAGCTTCTCCCCTCTTTTAACTTTCTTAATTTTATTTTATTTATTTCATCTCAATTCAGATCATTATATTTATATTCTTTGTCTGTCCTGTTTCCAGCTGTCTATTATCTTTTCTCATTAAACAAAATTTCTCCTGTAATCACTGATTGGAGTATGACACCTTTATATCTTTCCCCTAAATTTATAACACTTAGTATAATACATAACTTCCATTCAGATTCTGCTTAGTTCATTCTAAAGTTACACACTATATTTTAAAAAGAGAAAAAATTATAAATATATAATATAATTAAAACAACAATCCATACCAATTCAAATTAATATTAATATTCATTTAAATCTTAAACATTTTACACATTACTTTTCAAATAAGTATCATACTTCTATGGGAACACTTATAAACTTTCCATAGTTACTTCCCCCCCACTTCACTTATATTTTAAAACATTGTGTCATTAAAATGTTCCCATTCCTTCCTAATTCAATTCTCTCATTTATTTCATTTCATTTATTTTGTTCACAAAAGTTTCACTGAATTACACTGAGTATTTTATCCCACTTTTTAATCATATGCTGTTTCCAATTTTCTAACATTATTTCTAATACAAATATAACAATACAATCTTATGTACCTTTACAGAATCCCCTTTTCAGTTAAATTTTTACCCATTATCTCTAAATAAGTCCTGTTTCTTTACATCTTGCTCCACACCTTTATAGCTTCTCTTCCCTTCCTTCCTCCCTTGCTTCTTCTCTCTGCCCCTTTTACCCCCTTGTCTCTCCACCTCCATTTCCCTCTTCTGTGTTCCCCTTTTCTGTTGCTTTCTAACATTATATCCACTTTTCACCTTATTTTTCCCTTTTTTGGTTGTTTTTTTAGGTCTTAAAGTCTCCATTCTCTTTCCCCCCTTTCCCCTTTCTTCCCCAGGTAAAGTTACTTGTTCATTAAAGATGGCTTCTTCTTTGTCCCAATCTTCTTGTTGCGCAGTCTTTTCTTGTAGTTTCTCGTAGGTACAGATCGCCATTTCTAAGAATTGAAAAACAGAGCCAAGAGAGCCCTTCCCTTCTTGTTCCTCTTCTTTGTATTTTTTAAATTCCATTTTCAGTTCATCCACAAGTGATGCCATTGTAAAAAAAAAATTCAAACAACCACCCAAGTGTTTTTAGTCATTCAAATATAATTTCCAAAAGTCCCAAAGTCACCAAGCAATCCAAATACACACAAGCTGTTTCTTTTAACACTTTCTTCTTTTTTCACTTTCTCTTCCTGGGGTTACTATTTAGTTACAAAGTTCCAGTTAAAATGTATCTTTTAGAAGTCTTGTTAGGATTTAATCAGATTCTTTTAAATTCCAGGCAGTCTCCTCCTTCCAAATCCTGCTCTTATTCTTTTCCTCTCCCTTCCCACTTACAGCAAAAAAAGAGTTTTTTTTACTATTCAGAAATCCTTATTGTCCCCTTGACATTTAATTATCCAGTTTAATTACCTATTGATGCCAAAGTGGGTTTTTCCGATTTCTCGTTCATCTCTGTTCGCTGTCAATGTAAGGAAGGAGAGTGGAAAAAAAAAACTTTCCCTTTTCACTTTCATTCACTGCTACCGAATCTTCTTTGGGAGTGATGTATTTTTTTAAAAAAATTTAAATTCCAGGATACCTTAGTTGTTGCTTCTTATCCCGGTCAGCCAAAACTTTCACTTCTTAGCTTCCTCCTGCACTTTCTTTTCCAGATGAGTGCTTCTTTGAGGCGTCCATTTCTGACCGCCGCTCTAACCGCCTTCGGGAAAGGAAGTTTAGTCAGCTGGGGAGGAAAGATGCAGCTTTCCTCGACCCTGCTGGGATCTCCCCCCTCTTCGCCACCTCTACGGGGTGGCTTAGCCCCGAAGCCAACTGGCTCGGGACGCTCCAGCGGCGAGCCTAGGCAGAAACCGTGCACGCTCGCGGATTCCTGCCTGATGCCGAAGCCCTGTAAACTGGAAGTCCAAGCTTGAAATTCTTAATAAATTTCAGCATTCTTTGAAATTTGATAGATTACAGCTAACCATGTGTTGTGTGCAATAAAAAAGCTTGTTGCTAATACAAGACAAATAAATTAGTGATAAACACATTTTATATAGGTATATTGTATAGTGTTTCAATAATGAATTGTAAAGATTATATCTGATTCTGTAACTCGGCTATGCCTTATACATTAACTTTTTGTTTCCCCTTCCCCTTTTCAGGAAATATAAATGTTACTCTTCATGTATGGGATATCGGAGGCCAAACAATAGGAAGCAAGATGCTGGACAAATATATCTATGGTGCACAGGTATGGTTAAAGCATTATAAACTACTATAGTTTCTTACTCTTGGTCTAACTATAATGTTTATTTAAATAATAATAATTTACAACAGAATATGAAAATGTGAATATATAAATGAAATTTATTTTAACATTCATTTTTCAGATCAAGGGTTATTTTGGGCAGAGTGCTAGGATAGTATTTTTTTTTAATAAATGAGATGTGTCCTTAATAGCTGTCCAAAACAGATGTTGCTTGCTCTATACTGTGTATATTCAGTTGAAAATAGTAGTTTCTCCAGCATGACGATTGGAGAATCCATGGATGGGTTGACACATGCCTTTCTGCCTGGAGACTGCCTGGAGGTTGCATGTGTGGGTTCACTTGTACATTCGTTAAGGGTCCAGTTAATATAAGGTAGATTGAAGTCACCAAGAAAAATAAAAGCATGTAATGACCCGTAGTCTCTCAAAATAACCCAAAACCCAAAACATACATTAAAGTCCGGTAAGGCCCTCAACTTAACTTCACTGTTTTATTAGGAACAGTTTAAAGTCACAAAAGTAAATAATGAGGCAAAAAGAAAACCAAAACAAACCGTATTGACGAGAGTTCCGAAGCAAGCCAAGATAACTAATCATAAACTCTAGGAAAATAACTGAGGAGAGTCTGTGGGAAGAACGCCAGCAAAGATAAACCTCTTTCAAAGTAAACACTAAACTTTGACTCCAGCAATTCTGACTGCGCAGTTACAAACTTATATACATAGTTCCCAGCTGCAAGCCATGAGGAGGATCATGGTAATTTCCTCTTGAGTAGACCTTGCTTTTCCCTGATCCTCTCCTCCATGCATGATCTAGGATGGATAGAGGATGGGCCTGGATCCTCCTCTGATTGCTCAGCCGGCCTCTGCCCTTCCCCAGGCTCCACCACCTCTGGAGCCACACTCGCACTCCCTGTTGGCTGTTCCTCCTCTTCCTCAGAGTCAGTCTCCACCAGGGGCATGGACAAAGTATGTGGGCAGGATGCTGCCCATGTTAGTAGTGTATTTAGCTTGTTTACATCTTCAATGTCATAATCAGGGGCTCTGTAACATAATAAGAACCAAAATGTGATATTTAAGTTCACAGATGATGGTCTCAGGAAGAGCAAGCTCCTGGGTATCTTGGATGTTTTTTAGATGTAGGGACTTTTTTTCACAATCTGATCGGTAAACATGATAATATCTTACTGTGGTAATGGAGTCAGGGAGAGGTGCGTTGAGCCATGTTTCACAGACAAATATAATGTCGAATTTAGCCGTATTTAGTAAGAGGAGAAATTCAGCTACCGTATTTGCCGGCGTATAAGACGACTTTTTTGCCCTGAAAAACATGCCTCCAATTGGGGGGGTCGTCTTATATGCCGGGTCGTCTTATACGCCGGCAAATAGTAATTGGGAAGCACTGCGGCTGCCCGCGGCTGAGGCACTTTTGCGCACCGTGGAAACGAATCCCGTGAAGCCGAAAGGAGCAGCCAGCCTTCTCCCAGCTCCCAAGGAAACGAGGCTCGCACCGCCCGAGCTCCGCTGAGGTATCCGGCTGGGGCTGTCAGGAGTTGTTACCGCTGGCGCGGCTCCGCGCGGCTCCAGTCCCGCGTTGCCTCGGGAAGGGAAAGGCAAAACCAGGAGCCGCTGCTGCCATTGCAAAGCGCCGCCGCGGCTCTTCCTTTTTGCCTTTCCCTTCCCGAGGCAACGCGGGACTGGAGCCGCGCGGA